ATAAGTTAGTTGGTGGAAGCAGGAACAATGACTTGTGCTGAATCGCCATCAGATCTACTTTACGGTCGGAAGGCTTTCTTCCATACGGATGATACCTGGCACAATACGAAGAGCGGTAGCTGGGCAGGCGGAGGGGGTACGAGAGACAAGGGGAAACAGCGCTGGCACTACTGGCTGCCACAGAGGAGGGCATGCTGCTGCTCGACATGTCGCCGGTGGCAGACGACGACAGAGACTTTTATCGGGCGAAATATTAGAGCAAGGCTAGATGCGACAAGGGGTCGGATGTCATGTAAACTGAGAGGGAGTTGCGAGACGCGAAGATAAGAAAGAGCGTGTGGTGGGTGTTGACAGACTAGGTCTTTCTGGTCGGCAGGGTTGCGGAGCGAGGGTTCGTCCACCCACACTGGGTGTCCTCAACACCTCGAAACTGCGAAAATTGGCAAGACGCGCTGAGACCGGATGGTTTTCAGGCTGCATTGCACTGATCAAGCAACCGTCGAGAGACAGCAGGGTGTATGATCTCACGTTTACGTCCAATCGGTGATGAATCCTCTTTGGCCGCCAACGGCTCGGAACTGTGCTTGGGCTGGAGATATGTTAGAGACGGGCTGCACAGGGTCCTTCAGCCTCGACAACCATTTTCGGCCAGCGCAGGCACCGGGAACAGCGATCCACGCTACCTTCCCGGGCGCTATTACTCAGCGAAGGTCCTGTGGGAGAAACGCTGATGAGCTACTGAGCGCAAACGCGATCTCTGACAGCAATTGTTCAGGAAGCGGCGGGCGAGATAGGCTTTCCCGTTCTTGCCTGTGGAGAGCGTCCAGTGCTGTCAGAAGAAATTCGTTTGCCATAGAGACTCTCACGGATGCGCGTCCCCTCCCAATTTCGCTCGCAGAGGAGATCAGAGCCCCATGGATTCGCCGCCAAATGAGCTTCGAAACAGGGTAACTCCACAAACAGACAGTCCGCACAATATCGTCAATGTCACGAAGCTGTCATGCCCCCCTGACAGAATACGCAGCTCAATAGGGTTCTTGCGAGACGCTGAAGGACATCCGCAGCGCCATGGCAAAGAACTTCGTGCCTACGTAGTACGCCATGTGTCGTATTGGGAGCACTCACCTGGGCCAATATATCTCGAATAAGCGAGGCATTCACGAGCATCTGGGGATCTGACTTTTTCTCGAAGCTTCCGGCGCGCATCTGCACAGTGCCAGATAGCCTTCACCAGACACCACTGGTTCGCATGCCACTGGGAAGCTTTGGTCACCGGTGGTACGTTATCACTTCCTAGGATGGACTCTTGTGGTCGGAGGACACGCGTCAATACATACCAGACAACGAAAATTTGCCACCGACAACACCAAAACTATGTGGGCAGAGTCACTCAGTTATTGCGTCTATGCCGCGTGTTTCAGAAGCGCATACAGCGGGCATGTGTCGCTATTGGACAGCTGCGAAACGGTCATTACTAGGTATTTGCGCTTGCCACTCGCGTTGCCTTGTTCTGCGAGTGGGGGCCGCGGGGTAGAAGCTCCGACGAGATTTCTATGCACCGGTGGATGAGAAAGCCTAGATCCAGGTACCTTCGAGTGAGCGAGAGTCGCGTTGTCGTCCAGTTGGGAGATGAGAGCTCGGCCAGGAGACTTTGTGGCGTTTCGAGGCGGCCGACGCTCGGAGGTAACAGAGCAAGGGCCGAGACGACCGATCACAACTACCCCGCCGCGGCCGGCATCCGCTGTAAGCCAATAGCATCCGAGTCGTCCGCACCCTCCGTACATGCTATCAGTCGTTTTCGACTCCAACTTCAGTTCGCTGTTCGGCTTGAAACGAGTGTGGTTATTGATCTACATCAGGAAGGTTCTTTTTTTGCGTCGCCCCCGCTGTCGACCTATATTCTCTGCGCAGGCTATGGCTGCCAGCTAGCTTGAAGCTGAGCTGACTTTGCGCTAAGGTCTCAGGCATCTTTATTTGCGCTTCTTGGCCCTACTGCAGCCACTCGTTATTGCTCTTCAATCCCGCTTTGGCCGCTCATCCTCTGTCCTGCGCGTTCCGTGGTCAGGTAGGCGAGCATTAGCACTACGGGCATCCCCAGATTTCAGGGGGCCCGAAATGTCCCAGACAAGGCATCCGA